AAAAAAAAACTGTGCTCTCGAAGCTGCTAAAAGTAACCGTTTAAGTTCGCATTGCGTCGAAATCGACCTTTGAAGGATTCACTCCAAAAGATACCACTCCGAAAACTGAGTTTTTTTGCATACGTTATTTCCCAAAAACGAAGCACAAATCAACAAAAACAATTACTCAACAATGCTTTTCATGTCAAAACAAGTCAGTCTGCCAAAAATTAGCTTGATCCTGCAAAAAATAAAAATCGGCCCAAAATGCTATATACCCCCTTTTTGCACTAAAGCCTATCAATTATGTAATTCGTGCATATAGTCTATAAAACATATTTAAAACAAAAGATGTGCAGGGTCTAGGACCTTCCAACATAAATCGTAGCCCATTTTTTAGCTTCTTTGATATTAAATATGTACTGTGATAGCAAAATTAGTTGCCTCCTGAATGGTGCCGTTAAATGTTTCTTGTTTTTTGGATTATATAAAATTTTAGGAATGACTTGTAGCAACATTGCAGTGGTTTCATTAACGTTTTCAGCAGGAGGGCAACTAGTTTTCACAGGCGGGCAAAACTATTTGAACTGAACTTCTTTATTAGAAAAACTTTCTGCCCGATGGTCAAACCGGGCAGGCAAAGATCGCCCAGTCACAGCTGGTCAATTTGCTCGGTGCCTGGCCCTTAATGAAACCCCTGCATTGAGAAGAGTTTTGAAGGTAGTAATAGACCATTATACAGTTGTCTGTTCAGTGACCTGGCCTTTGAATGGCAGCGAGGCTGCAGAGGTCACCTTGTTTTGATGCAGACCTCACCACTTTTGTTGTGTAAATCAAGTTGTTCTTATGCTAACTAGTTGGGATTTAAATGAGAAAAGCAGAGAGGTCTGTATCAAAGCTTTCATTCATAGGCCTGGTACCTAAGCACAGCTTACAAATTCAATAATTTTCAGAGGAATTTTAAGAACACCATTTCATTTTTTACTTCAATCTGTAATTATCCACTTTGGTTTTGGCACAAGAAACCTTAAAAAGTTGGTCTGCTATACAATCTGTTGAATTGTAGATTCAAGGCGTTTTCTTTGAATTTTTCCAGAAGGCACACTGCTTGTACAAACCTTGAAATTAAAAAGAATCTGACAGCATATCTCTACTATACATAGCATGTTGTGTACCTGTCCCAGTTGAAGAGGTCAATATTCATCTGTATTGCCCTGTACATGAGTCCAGCTTGCAAGAGTATGGTCTCTGCTTCTTTAGTCTGTCGGCAGAAGAGAGCCATGGCAGCATTTCTTCCTTCCTTGGTAGGAATCTCCTTGATGTGGTTGATGTATTGGACTTTGTCAGCCTGTTGATCACAAACACAGTTCTAACATTAAGCACTTACATGTATGTCAATAACTTGTTAAAGCCATAGAACTAGACTGATCTACTGCTCTCTGTCTGACAAGTTGGTGAAGATACTACGCTTGTATCATTATATATAAAAAAAATATGATTTGGGTTGTATTAAATGGGATACTATTTAACTAGACGTTACCCCTCGTTCTTCTGCCAAGATGTCAACAATTAGCTGATACTAATACACCTACAGTAAATGTAGGTGAAGAGGCACCATGGAAGTGATCAAAAACTTTCAAAAAACGACAATGTTATGAATAAAAACAACAACAACAACAAACAACATTACACTGCCCATTACTCTCGATCTTAACACACTAACCATTTGCTCTCTGACTAATTCCATGTACAGATATCTAACTGATACAATCTGAAGATTATCTGATAGTCAAACCTTTCCTTAGTTGTTGAATATTATTAACTAACTGGAAGCACATTCTCTACAATGTCACAAAAGGCTTATTACATACTTCATCTATGGCAGCATAAGCTGTCTCCGCTGTATTGAGATCCTTTGCATAGGCAGCCATTGTGGCCAGACATGCCCACAAAATGGTGTCCTGAAAAAGAAATAAGATGCAAATTACATTAATTTTATTTGCTGACAACTGTGACTTACACAAACACAGATACTATATAGAGTTTGTGCACTGTTTTGCATGCGCATATTTATGATTTTGCCTGCCACTACCCTTTTCTTTTAGACTAAATTCACCCACATTGTAAAAGATGACACAATGAGGGACAATGAACATTAAAAGCTGGGTTTGGCCGATTCACTGTGAAAATTAACAACTTCTGTAGCTTTTCCAGGCTTTACATAGATTAAATAATCCTATTTCTTCTTTTTCTTCTTTTACACAATTTTGAGTTCACGCACATGTTTTAATGAGCGCTTGCGCTCCTAGGTGTCGCGTGGTTAAATAAAATATTGTTGTTGTTGTTGTTGTTGTTGNCAAACACAGATACTATATAGAGTTTGTGCACTGTTTTGCATGCGCATATTTATGATTTTGCCTGCCACTACCCTTTTCTTTTAGACTAAATTCACCCACATTGTAAAAGATGACACAATGGGGGACAATGAACATTAAAAGCTGAGTTTGGCCAATTCGCTGTGAAAATTAACAACTTCTATAGCTTTTCCAGGCTTTACATAGATTATATAATCCTATTTCTTCTTTTTCTTCCTTTACACAATTTTGAGTTCACGCACATGTTTTAATGAGCGCTTGCGCTCCTAGGTGTTGCATGGTTAAATAAAGTATTGTTGTTGTTGTTGTCGTTGTTGAGAAATACCAGTTAGACTTTTAAAACTGTATACAAAAACTGTGAGCATAGAAAAACAGGAATTGTTTTTACCTTCACAAATCTACAAAGTCGAATCGCATCTTCCCATTTAGATTCACTGGCATACTTGTGAAGCATGGATGGATACGGTGAAATTCTGTCAAAATTATATGAAGAATCAAGGTAAGTGAGTGTTACTTGCAGTGGTGATAGAGATGACATGTTAATAACTATATGAAACTATTTGTGGTCACAATTGGTTGCCAACATTTTTAAAGAGTTAAACATTGCTAATGCTGCCATACATTAACTACTGGCGATGTATAAATCACATTAGTTACCTTGACCATTTGTGAGTCCAAGATTTAAAATCAGAAAAAGAAAATAGCGAGACTGAGAATACCGTCATGTACCTAAAAGCCTGTAGAGGGCATTTTAGCAAGGTGGGTGTCGATACATATTTTGTGGTCCTTTTGCTTAATATGTAAAACTCACATTGTACTGCACAGTGAACCATCAGCCCTTCTCATCGTACAATGGTTTTCCAAGAAGCTAACAATCTGGGGACTCTTTCCAAAATCACTGAAAACAGAACACAATGATCCAAGAACTAAGCACAATTCAGATAGAATTGTTAATAGATAATTCAAAACAAGTTCATAGATAATTTAAAACAATATGTATGTGGTAGTCGGGCATTTTAATTCTTGTATAATCATCTGGCAGTGAGGGCCGGGATTTTGTTCCATGAATGTGTGTGTACCTGGAATCTTTCTCCAGAAGTGTTTTTGGCAAGATGTCCTGGTCCACATACACGGCACTGGGATAGTACCATACAATAAACCTGCCATCCTGGAATGCTGCCAACATGTTTGTGTTGTCATTCCAAGCCATTGTGGTTATCATTGTTCCTAACAAAAAAAATACAAAAACAAAAACAAAAACA